ATTGAGGATAAGGTCTAGGATCCTGCTATGAGACAGTGACCCACAGGACATGGAGACAGTATCACTGGGGGAGGAGATATGATTCAAGGGAAGGGCAGTTATGGAAAATTTCAGGAGGCATTTATTGGGTATTTCCTTTATGCCAGGTTCAAGTCTTAACACTCTAAATAAAATTATTAACTCATTTAATGCTTAAAAGAGCCACACAGCATAGGTCCTATAAATCATTATATTTCCTAAAGAGAAAGAAATTCTAAAGTTTCTATTTGAAAGCTGAATGACCTGATGCCTCTTCAGTGGGATAGAATTTTGTTTCATTTTGCTTTGTTTTATTTTCATGAGAGAGAATAATTAACTCAATATAAAGATATCTGCTGAGTAACTACTGTGTGTCAGGCACTGAGGAGCCACTCGGGATGGCAGGGAGTGTGCTTTCACCTGCACGCACCCTTCCACCAACCCCCGGGAAGAGCCATATTCCCCTTAAGGCATGGACAAGAGGGTAAAAACCTGAGAAAGGGAGACAGTCAGGATGTTTTAGAAATCAGTGTGAGTAGGTAGTTCAGAAGGCAGATTGAAAAATTTTGTGGAAGTGACTACAAACATTTTTTGAGAGGTTATATCAGAGATGACGAAACTCATCTCTGATATAACAAAGAGAAGGTGAAAATGAGAGAAGATAACAGGAGAAGATGGAAACAGGGGGTGACTAAGGGCAACAGGCTGTGAACTTCACAGTTGTCCACAAATTCGTCAAGAGAATTAAGCCCTGGAGTCTCCATTGTCTGCCATAGGTTAGAAGATGGCAGAGAAAGGGGCATCCCAAAGATAGTCACAGCCTGCAGTGATAGTAACTCGCAAGCACTTCAGTTTGGGGAAGGTGGGATGCTTTGGCCTTTTTGGGAGGGCTCAGCTGCGGTTCAGTTTAATTGCTCAAGCTCTAGAGACAGGCTCTAGTTCAAGCTGCTGGGTGTCCTGATCCCTTGGCTGTGGTCTTGGGCCTAATTACCCTGTGATTTGAAGTCTGCACTTTGTTAAGTCAACTATTATTACCCTATTGTGGATGTTTTAAAACATATTTTTTGCTTGTTTGTTTTAGCTTTTTAGTTGGAAAATTATCCTGCTGTCTCAGCTGTGCTAAAGAGACACAGTAGAGGGGTTTTCCATCTATAGGTCAGTCTGACAAGGGTTGGAGGTAACAATGATAGCATTTAAGGAAAAACAAGGGAGCTTAAAGTATTGTTTGGATATTTAAGGCAAAGCCAAAATGCCCTTATCGTTCAAGTTTCACTTTGGTTTTCAGTTTGAAGCTTTCAGAACAGAACAGCAAATTCTGTTCAGAGACCACCTTGCCTCTTATTATTTCCATACAAATCTAATCTTCCAAGATTTTTATGACCTTTCCTTTTTCAATGAATGTTACGTTAATTTTATTTTTTATAAGGATATCTATCCTTTTGTACTGCTCCTAGTTGATCTGCCCAGAATGCTTGCAATCTGAAACCTGAAAGAATAGGTAAAGATTCCTTTACCCAAATGGTAAACATTAGCCTGCATTATAATTGTAGATAAAAAGAAGGGTGTTACACAAGTTGGCTATAGCATATAGTAAACTTGACTCAGTTTTCCTTTGCCAGGAAAATACTAAGGCCGATAATGCTTATTTTAAGGCCCCAGACCTCAGTTGAGATTTAAGAGCTTAACTTTAGGATACAGCTTAAATATTAAAGATTAAGAAAATATCACCTGAGATTTAGGTTGCCAAGAAGCACTTATGTGAGTTTTAATAACAAATATTGTCTGTGTAAGGATTTTGTTGGAAAAACCATGAGCAGAAAAAACGTTTCAGGAAAATTGAGCATCTTTTTCTATTTTCAGCTTTCAAAACAAGCAAAAGATTTAAATTCTCCAGAAAAGTTTATGTTTTATAGAAGAGTGCCTTGATTCAAAGTAGTGTGTTTTTAAAATGTACGTTTTTGACCAACTGAAATATGCATCATTACCGACATGTAAATGGATGTGTCTGCATTTTCACTGTAATCCAGTGGCATCAAGCAGTTTAAGGTTATGTCTTTAATTATCCATGAATGCTTTTATAAGATTAATATGTGACTTTTATCCTAAAATTATTCTTTTTAAAGCAGGCAATAAACTTTGTGACATTTTCATTTAAAAGACACATAGTTAAATTTTTATTGAATTATGGAACTTCGGATTGCCCATTATTGCAACATTTATTTTCTGAAAGAGTCTAAAAGTTTTAAAATAATCTTCAGCTATGTGGATTGAGTGCACATCTTTTGAAAATTGAAAACAAACTTTTCAAGTCTCCCTAAAAAAGAGACACATTTACTTGCATAGACATTAAATGTTTCCTGGTTAAATTCATAGTTTTTACTATTGGCCAACTTAATGATTAATAAAGCAGATACGCAATAAAATTTTATGTGCTAAGTCAAAACACTTGGTCTAGAATTGGAGCCAGGCATCTTATAGCAAAAAGTAGTAGGTGATTTCAAAAACTAAAAGTGTTGGGAAAATAAATTTTCTTCCGTGAAAGACAAAGGTGCTTTAGAGATGAGAACAGCCATTCAGGAAGTTGTATTAGTGTAGGGCTCTCAGGTAATCCAGACAAGGCAAGGAGATAGGCAGGCTTGAATTGAACATGGTAAAATTCTACTTTGTAATAAAATTTGTAGTGTATTATTTTGTCCTTCTTTTCACCTTCCAAATTCTGTAGCCATTGTGGAAGATTTGAAGGGAGAGATCCCTAAATTAGCTGAATTGTTAGCTGAATTAGCTTTTTTACAAAAGCCAGGAAATCATGAGAAGTTTTTACCCTAGAAGATTATTGTGCATCAGAGATTGCAGAGTAAGAGAAATGTATGAAACGCAATCATGTTGTAAAGTTTACAGTTTTTCAAGTCTTGTATGATATTTTCAAAGTAAATGTAGATTTATAGGAAATCTCAAAAGAGAAAGTTTCTTTAGGAGGAAGAAACAAAATAGATCCTTCCATTTAATCTTGGAAGTGATTATAAAATACAGTACTCTTTTTCTTTAAAAAATAAATATTTTCCCTTTTGAAATACTTGTAAGATTATTCATTAGATATAAGATCACACACAAACAAACCTTGCATATAAGCTGTTGTTTTAAGTATTAAAATAAATTTATTTTGTTTTGTTTATTCTTTAGCAGAACAGATGGTAATGGTTTTGACACAATTTAGTTTTCTTTTCCTTTTTTATTCCTTTGGGAAAAAAACAACACAAAACCAGAGCTTCTTTTCCCACTTTGTCACAGCTGGTTACCAATCAATCTCAATTCACGGTACAGTGATGATAGCACATGTTGTCCAGGGGCCAGATCTGATTGGGTTGCATTTTTCAGCAGCGTTTCATATCAGGGAAAAAGGTATCTGTGTGGTGGGGGCTGTCAGCACACGATTGTACCACTGTCATTAATCAAACCTGGCAACAATGCCTGCCTTTATACAAGGCCGAGACTGGCAGATTTCACAATCAGAATCACCCGATTTCTGTAAAGATTTCCTCACCAGTAATGTTTTTTTATCCGTTTCTTTTTTGTCTTGTTTTTAATTAAAGTCAGATGATACCTCATACATGTTGATTAAATATACTATACCATATTCAAAAAGTAGTTTGTTTGTTTTTATCAAAGTGTGTGCTCTAGTTATTTAAAATTCCTTCTCAATTATTTAAAAAAGGCTAAGCACAAATCAGGACAAAATTTAAGTCCATTAGATTGTTCAGTTAAAGACTAATTTTAAAATGCATATATGTTAGTAAACCCATTATGAACCTTCAAGGATTACATTTGTTCTTAGATTAATATTGAGCAAACTACTGATGAAGTGTGTTTCTGGAGTTTTTGAAACAACACAAAATGCAGACATGCACACCTGCCCATTGCACATGCATACAGAACAATGAGCACACACACCCAACAAGGCGGTGTATTGCTCTGTGTTAAAAAATAAATGTACTTGCTGCAGGGATATTATCGCAGTCTCTTTGTAACTCACAACAATCTTAGCATCTTCTATAAAATGGCGTTTGGAAATAGGCATTTTCTTTGTCGTTTATGGTTGTGAAATCATATATTAAACTCTGCTCTGAATTATAAAGAAGTATTTAAATGTAGGAAACTATGATTCATAATTTTGCATATTACTCAGTTAATATTTGCTTTCTGGGGAAAATGAACATTTCTCCAAATACCTAATGTAATAGTGTAAAGCATCAATGAGACTACTATGTGGCATATACCAGTTATCCAAAGCAAAATACAAGAAGTAAGGCCCCATTTACTGGACCTGTGGAAATATGTAACATCTAATTGTTTGTGAAATATGTAGTTTTAGGAAATAAATTGTTGTTGCACAGAAACCATGACCCGTTTGGGAAAGAGCTGAGAGTATACATTCTAGAATCACTTGAAGGGATACTGGTTGGTGTTCTAACAGTTAATTTTGCTAATTAAATAAAAATCACTGATTTTTAACTCTTTCAGCCAATGCTTGTTTTGTCAATTTGCCAATAATTAAGATAATAAATTTCTCCTTCGAATATTTGAGTTATCTTATATTCAAGATACCTAAAAATTAAATCATATTTGAACCCGGTATAACTTATAAAATGATAGACTATAACTCATGAAGAAGCAAATATACACTACTTCTTTATTGTCTAAAGGTTACCAAAAAATGTGCTAGCAGTGCATTTCATAATTTGGAAGTGGCAAAAATTATATACATATATAAAAATAGATAATTGGTAATAAAGCATCTGGAGAATCACATATACAATTAATGATCTTATTAGCAATACCTTTAATCTAAGCATTGCACTTTATGGCTGAATGATGTGTGTGTGTATGTATACCATATGTTGTTTCCGGTAAAATATAGTAGAAAAATGAAGTGTTATCTAAATATAACTAAAGCTATTTAATAAAAACATTTATATTCTACATAGGTATGACATCAAAGATGATTACACACTGAGAATTAAAAAGGCCTTGAGCACAGATGAAGGCACCTATATGTGTATTGCCGAGAATCGGGTTGGAAAAGTGGAAGCCTCCGCTACCCTCACAGTTCGAGGTAAGAGACCTAAGACATATGATATAATTGAGCCAGCAGATTGACACTTGATTAAATGGGCAAGTAAACTCACAATCAAAATAATAGGTTGTACTGTTTTATTATTACATTAAGATGCCTAGATTTGTGTCTACTATATTATTCATTGAAATAAAATTACTTTCAAATTTTAGTTCAAATGGATGATATTTGAAGCAGTTAATTTTATACAATAAATAGTAGCTAATGTGATTTTTAAATAAATCTTAAAAATTGATAATTCACTAATTTTATATATTTCCATTTCTTTGAACTATTTACTGTTTTTAAATGTCACTAGTTTCAAAAGTACTTTGTTTTTCTGTTTACTAGTTTGTCACTTTATACTAGCAGAGTACTGTTCTGAAATTCTTTTTTTTTTGTTTCATCATTCAAAAAGCAATTTGAAAAGGAAAAAAACTAATACTGCTTTCCAAAGTGAAAAATGGATATAGAGGAGCTCCCACATTGAGAAAATCTGATTTAGAGAGTGATTTGTGAAGTTCATTGGCCTTAAATAATTGAAATAGTCAGTGCTTCTCCTGCAATAACTTTCACTTTCTAGGTGTCATGCACTTTCTCAGTCATGGAATACTGTTCATTTATAAACTTCCTGGAATTGCTTCTAAGTGAAAGAAAACATTATTTAACCCTGCAGTGAGCTAGAATGAATAAACTCTGTTCCAGGTGGTGTCCGTGATCCACATGAGTAAAGTACATAGCCCAAGGTACCAGGCAGTACCATCTAGACAGCCACACTTAAGTCTCCCCAAATAGACTCTAACCCACAGCATTGTTTACTCTATCAGAGAACTTCAAACTGAAACAGGCAAGCACATCCCCTGCTCAGTCTTTCAGCCTTTCTTCCACTACCCTAACCTATGCCTCCTCCTCTCAGCCTTTCTGATAAGGAGGTTGGGTGGTTTCATCCAGGTCTGTTACAGCTCACCCTGTTCAGTCACACCTCCTACTCTTGCACAGCTTTGCTCCTGGAAGTTTTCCTAAGATTAAGAGAAATATGTGGAGGAATTTGTATTGGTGATCCTCCATCTGGTAAGAAAAATTATTTTTGTCAGATCTATGACTTGGGCACCAAATCGTTAAAAAAAAAAAAACAAAGCAAAAAAACCTTACCTTCCTCCAGGTAACTAATTGGAGACATATGCATTCTATATAGATTACCTGGAAAATATTAGTGATTTCCATAATTTCCAATTGCTCCATTTCTATTCAACCTAATTTTTTTTCCTCCTTTTTGATATGACTGAGATATAAAACAAATTTAGGCAAAATTGACTAGCAAGTTGCTTGAAAAGATATTCATTCTTCATTAGATATCAGATGATAAACAGCTATGATCAGAGAACAGTTGAATATACATACTGATTATATGTGGTCAAAATCTGAGCCTATGTAACCCTCTTTACTATATTTAACCTACATTCTCCATAGGTGATTTATATTTATACATATATTTGTTTATTTTTCTCTAGGCAGTCCTTTGCAAAAACATTCACTTGACCAAATTTCCCCCAAAGTTTGTTTGTTTTTTCTGAAGTAAATGGAAAAAAATAAACAAGCAACCAAGAAATGTTCCATTCAAAAAATATTTGCTGACTAAACAAATGGTGAGAAAATGTGAGGAGCTGTTTGTTTGAAGAAGCAGCAGGGTTCCTTCATACTTGAATGCCTGCATGAATGAGACTTCAAGTGGTCTGTTTGCTTTAAGATCTTTCCCAGCTAATTGTTTTCATAATTTGTTGAAAGTTTCAGGTTTAATATTTCAGTTAACAAAGCATGCTCCCCGTGCATGGACTTTTGAAACTAACTTAAAAAAACTAATAGAAAGAGTTGTTTGCTTATAATTTGATTTTTTTTTAATCGGCAAACCTTCGATGTTTTCTTCCCTAATCTGTGCCCTGTGTCCTGGATTGGACAATTTAATCTGTGTCATATGTTTTTATGATTCTTTTAACACTGAAACCTCAACATGAGGTTACAGAAAAAAGTCTCCATAATACAATAGAAAATGTACTAAAATATCTTTTAAAAATATTTTTATCATTAGGAAAAGCAGTTGGGATTTCTCATGCTAAGAGGTTAACAAGAAAAAAACATAGTATCTACAACATATTTTTTTTCCTGGGCTCATTTTTCTATGCACATAAGGAAATATTCAGCCCTTCTCTGGCTTGCTTTATTAGACCAGGGTCAACTGACCCAAGAGGCCACATCTATTTTCATCAATTTAATGTAGGGATACAGTTTAGTTTAATTTGCTGATTTTGAAAACATTCACCTGCTGGGGTTTCTTTTTGTTTGTTTGTTTTTTCGGGATGAAATGTTGCTGTGTAACAAAGACAAGACATTTTATTGTGATGTTTCTGCTAAAATTTTATCATGTTCCCTTTAGCCAATTGGGGAAAGAAGTTTTATAGTCAAAATCTGAAAGAACGATTTATTCAGTGGTTAGTTTTCCTCTTCAAAACTATGGTTAAAATAAGCTATAAAATTAAAAATGTTAGACAACAAACCTCCTAGCATTTATATTCTAATCAAATAATTCAAAATCTAACAGAACTTTTTTAATTGGCTTCAAAAATGCATTAAAACAAACTACATATTTATAAACTCAATTTTCCCCATTTTTTAATTTTTCAAATTGGCTTTGCATAAATTAAGGTTTTGTTGGAATAATCATGTTGCTCCTGGGCAATAAATGCTCATTTTTTTAAACTACCCTAGACAAAGTGAAAGAGAAATATATGTTATTTCTTTAAAAAATGATTTTTCCCCTTGCCTTCTTTGTCACTTTTTAATATCGATGCAAAATGCCCTTTTGTTTCTATATATAGGAAACATTATGTTTGAGATTCTGCTTAGGGTGGCATGTGAAAAATGTAAATTCAAAAATCAAAGACAGTTATTTGTCTACTGGACATTGGCAAAATTAAGAGAAATCGTATCAGTTAGAATAAGCCACAATTGTATAATGTTCGTTTGTTGTCTTGTTTTTGGTTGCTATTATTATGTCCTCCAAACCAAAGAAAGAAAAGAGAAGAGAAAAGGAAAAGAAGGGGAGGGAATGGGGGAGGGAGGGAGGGAGGGAGGGAGGGAGGGAGGAAGAGAGAGAAAGAGAAAGAAAGGAAGAAATTGTGCATCGGGAGACTTCTCTTCCTGCTACTATAGTAAACCCATCATAGACTATGAAGCACATAAGAGTTTTACTGTTAGAATTTTCATACTGCTACTATAATTGCTTTATTCTTCTTTGAATTATCTTAATCTCCCCCTTTTTAATTGTGCATATTATAAGACCATGGATCTCACATAAAATAAACTTGATTATTGTTCAGAGTTTTCACAATGCTAGTACTATGATGTTTGTTGAGTGAATGAATGCCTAGCAATATGGTTTGACTGGCCATATGTATCTCACCAGACCCAATGAGACAGCATCACAACAAAACTCCCTACCAGTGCTGGGGTCACGATTTATACATGCTAGAACTTCGTTCTGTAGGATATAGGTAATATACTTGTCAAATAAATTTATATTTTTAATGTAAGATTTTATAAAAGTTTAAATGCTACTAAATATATTTCTTTTTCAATTCAATAATGGGACCATATGTCTCTATTTGTCCATTGCTGTTATATAAAATGGTTCATTATCTAAATAGATTTGGCAATATTCATTTAAAAAATATCATTAAGCCTACGTGTGCCTCTTAGAATTTCTGTGCATTCACCATAGAGGCAGCCTATTGCTACTGATTTTAGTGATTGAAAGTTACAGTATAATAAAAAAACAATAATTTGTTGAAGAAGCAGCTTGAACGCCATTCTCAGTGTGAACAAGAATCAACTTGTCAGTCATTGTTTCCTGCCGTCTGCCAAAATAAGAAAAAGCTTAACAGTAGTTAGGGAGTTACTCAGCTGAAATCTCTAAGGATGTTCCAACCTATTTGTTATATTTTCATCCACCCTGTCCAGGGATGAAAAGTGATGTGATCTTAACTTATTACTGGCTGAAAAGTAGCATCAGGGGCTTTTCTGTAGTTCTGTAATGGTTCTGACTAACCATGCTTAAAATCCAATTGCTATTTAAATCAGACAGTGAGGCCTTCTTTTATTGACATGACATTTGCTAGTCTGTGACTTGAATAGTTATATTCATCAAATTCTTAACTTTGTAGTTCTACAGGGTTGTTTAACTCTGAAATGATCTTTGAATTTATAACTATAATAAGTGATGACAATATGACTTTACATAAAATCTGTCAAATTGCTTATAGTTAATCCTGGGATGCAAAATAATTATTTTCTTAGAATTACAGTTATAACTTTCAATTTTATCAAACTCAGACATCCTATTCCTAGTGGAATTGTGACTAGAAATCACTCTACTGTCCATACTTAAATGTAACATTACACATCACGCATTCTGATAATTTTCTTTTTTTTTTAATTTCTTTTTTATGTTCTCACCACACCATTGTAATGTCTACAGCTCGCCCTGTTGGTAAGTAGCCATCCTTCTAACCATTTAGCATGGCTTTGTACAATGCTTCATAAATCATGCATAGCTCAATATGATAGAATGAAATATAATTATTTACCCAAAATAAATATTACTTGCGGAACTCTCTTCTGTAAAAGTTGCTCCTGATCTTTTCATTACTTTGATAAATGATTTTATAGTGACATTTGCTACTTAATAGGTAACAATTTTCTTCTAAAAGAATTTCTGAATGATTAATATTATAAACTAACTTTTCGTGAGAAAAATATGATCCTTCTTTTCTTGTATCTGTAAAATAATTCCTAGTTATATGTGTTATTCAAAAAATTAGTTACGTATAAACTAAATGAAGAAGTTTTATTATTTTATGTACTTTAAGCTGTGAGGGGTCCTTGCTTTTTAAGAGCATTTTAACTGCTGCATAATTACTATCTGCATACCTGTTTAAATAAAATTTAATAAAATGCTTCAAGTTATTATAAATAGTTACACTATGAGAAAAAGGGAGATATGAACTATATACTTTGGCATGAAAAGTTTTTGGTTTTACTATATTTCATCCTTCATTTGGCTTTGCAAAATTGAAGTTAGGAGCTTTTGCCTGCAGTAATGTATGTGGTTGTTATCTGTATATATTTGTAAGGTAAATTATTTTTTAATTAATTGATTTAATAACCTTTCTGCATTTTTCTAAGTTTAGCTTAACCAACCAGTAAATGTGCTTAAGTAAAAGAAATCTTGGTAATTGTGTTGTAAGTAAATGAATAGCTGGTTGAATAAATGAAAGGACGGTTGCATGAATGAAGGAATGTAGTACATTGCTTCTTTACTACACCAAGACATACCTCAGTAATTCATTCAGTTTAACACAGCTTTGTAAATGGTCCATCGAACTTCAAAAGCTTTCTTAATATACTAGCTTGACATTGTTTGATGCATATTGGTCAAACTCACAAACTTTTTTCCTGTTGGTTGAAACATTAACAAACTTTATTTTTATATAGTATGTTCTTACATGGATAGAAAATGCAGTAAAATAGAACTTGGGCTTTCCGATCTGAATTTGTGCCCTGTGGTTTCTGAGCAGTACTTTCTTTGTTAGTTAGTTAATATCCCTGAACCTCAGATACTTTCTTTATAAAATGAAAGGAATAATGCTGACTTATTAAAGCTGCTGTAGGAATGCACTTAGTTCAAGTTTGATAATTAAGTGAAATGTTTTGTATGCCAACATTGGTTAATATATTCCTAGTTTTGAGACATACTATTTCACATTTTAATGTTTTTAAAATACAGTTACAGCTTACAGTTAATTGTACATAAATTGCAGGCTTTTTTGAAACACAGTTATTAAATTGGTCATGCTTTTTACAATTGATGTTGTTAAAAAATCAAGGAGTAGGTTATAGTTTCTAAACCTCATTTGTTTGTATTTATAAGAATTTATATAGTGTGTTAATTTTGCATATTATAGTGTGGCATCTAAAATTAAGAAGTGAATGGGAAAGAATGAAATAATTTTAAAAACAAGAGAAGTCATATTTGTTATATAAATCTCTATATAGAGAAACCATATGCTAATGAACCATGATCACTCCTTTTATATTATTTCTTGTTTCCCCCAAAATAGAACAACTTGTTAATAATTTCCAATATATTTTAAAACTCATAAATGAAAATGCATTGATTAGAAACTGTTGTGCATGCAGAATATTGAGATGCATTTGTCACCTACAAGGTATTTCAAAAGTTATTTCTGTTTTTTATTCTTGTTTAAAATGATTTCTTAAAGTTTCATTGGACTGGAACTAAAGAATAGCTTCTTGACACATTATACTTTATTCTGGGAAAGTCTGTCATTTCATAAATCTATCTTGAATGACTTATGACAATGTTCAGAAATATAAAGAACTATACTTTAAACTTGACAACTACTATTAATTTTGAACACTAGATGATAGATATGCTTTTATTAGCTCACCAGAGAAGAAACTGATAATGAGGAAATTAGCCTGCTTTTTCTTTGCATCAACTTTTTACATCAGCTTTAATTCAGGGAGTATAGATATGTCAACTTATAGTGAAAGGTCACAAGATACAAATCAAATCAAATCAAATTAAATATTGAAATAATACAGAACTACACTGATATCAATAGTTGTTAGTGGACTGAAATGTAAATTTTTCAACTTTGAATCTCCTACCAATATTTTTAAGGGCCTTCTACAAAGTAAAAACCACAGAAAAGTGGGGAGAGGATACAATCTTTTAATTCCAGAATACATTAACTGAACACATAGGTACCAAGTGTACAAAACTTAGAGAAGATTAGTGGGTTGTCCCTGTCTAAACCTTTCAAGTGAAAATTAGAAATATATGCAGATTTTAGAATACTAAAGATTCAGAAAGCAGTCACTACTTGGTAGTTTGTGTGGAAAGTCCATTTAGAAATCATTATAAACCCCCAAATTGGGAGTTCTGTCCAAATGCATGACTTCTATGAGCTGCATCTGAGTAAAGAATTGGCATCTTCAGACATTTTTACAATTGAAATAAACACCTTTCTGGCCTATACTTTTGAGAGAGTAAGAATAAGTCCTGGTTTAGCAGATCCTCCACATGGAAAAGTTTACTGAAAACAGTCACGTATTTGCCAATAGAGGACAGTATTCTCCAGAATTCACTTACTCATCTTCAGTGTCACCAACATCTCAAAAAGGGCCTTTTAATACAAAATCCTTACTTGCTGCTTACCACAAAATCTAGACAAATGACATTTTGATCATTAAAAATCCACCAGCCCTTCCTGTGGTTTTGACTTTTTGCTTTTCCAGCAGCACTCTTTATGCAAGACGCAACAGTACATCCTAGGACTTAGTTAACTGTGAATGCTGAAATATCCATTGTTTATTTGAAAAACACTTCTGATGAGGTAACTGACAGAAGAAAATGATCTAAAAATGGACAAATATCTGCTTCCTATACCCATCTGTCTTATTTTCGATTGGGAGTCTTTCCCAAGCTTAAAAATAAAATTAAAAAAAGAACATCTATTTTGGAGATGGGCAACACATTTTTTCCAGCAGCAGTTCAAAACATGATGAGTAATTTGGAAAAGAACTGGCAAATCTGCCAGCTGCCTTGCTCATGAGGCTGAGCCCTGCTTTGTTCTGTATCTTATGTACCATATAGTAGATGCTGGTTGCCTCCAGTATGGAGACAAAAAGCTCAGTATATCAGGTAACACTTGTTTAAAATATCAAAAACAAACTGACAACATGTAGCATTATGTTAACTTCCAAGTATTTCCTGATTTGGTGACTCAAAAGGAGTCCTTTTCCTTTGGATAAAAAAATATATTTGAGAAATAAATATGTTTTTTGCAAAATGCTCATCTTTTATTATTATTTTAAAGACACAGCCACTATTCTAAACAGAAATTTAAAAGGAAAAGATTTTTCCAATTTTTCAATTGTTTAAATACAAAAATTAAATGTATATCCACTTTAGAAAGTTTTGTTTGGAGTTGGAGTTTTGTTATAAATGCTCTGAAGCATTTTATTGACGCCACCAAAAAGGTCAATGAAAAGAGAGTGATTAAAAAATTTATTCAGGGCAAATTATAAAGCAGACATTATATAAAGAGTAATGTAACTTTTCAACTCCACCCTTCTGCACCCTACACTGAAATCTGAAAAATTTGGAAAATATGTAGGTATTATGTGTGAACCCTTTCATGTTGAGATTCTTTTCAGCAAATACTCTCCTGTGTCTTATATGGAAACCTACACTTTTACTCCCTGCAGCGCTTCGTCCCTGGACACACTGTTACCCCCTGACCTGAGTGATCATTCCCCCGGCTACAAGCACTTAATGTTTCCTGCCCCTGATGCTAATTAGCTACTTTATACAGAGCCCCATTTAATTATTATTAAGCATCACATTTTTTGTTGCTCTATATGTTTTGATTAAATAGGAGGTTTCAAAAATGCATTGTTTTGTCTTGTGTATTCCAGCAGAATTTTCATAATGTGAAGGAGTTAACATATCTTAAGTTAATGCTCATTTTTAAAAGTGAAAAACAAGTACTGGTTCCTTAGGCTTGGCTGGTTTGAGTCACTGACTAGATTTTCTTGGAGAGCCTTGTATGTTTGACAATGTCTGTTCATTGCCTCTAAATTAGTGAATACGTATGAAATTATTAAGTCATACTTTCTTTTCCTCACGCATTGGTGAAAATGTTTTTTTGTCTTGGTATTGAATGGAACTGTATTGAAGTCTGAGGCTTAGAGAACATGTTTATCCTTGGCTGGGATGCTCTTTTATTGAGTGGGCCAAAAAGTCCATTTAGTTTTTTCTGTAAAATAAAAGCCACATTTTTCATTTTCACCAATGACTTTATTGATTTGGGTATTTTGAGTATGTAGACTATCTCCCATGTGGGATAATATTGATTGTTCTCAATTAATGTCTTGATTTGATCACTATTAATTTCAACTTGTCTACCCAACAATGGAGCATCATCCAGTGAGAAATCTCCAGCATGAAACTTTGCAAACCACCCTTGATATGCTCAGTCACAGCACCTTCTCCATACACTGCACAAATCTCTCTTATTTTTTGCATTTCAGTTGTTTTTACCTTTTTTGAAATAGTAAAGCATAATTTCCCAAAAATGTTGCATATTTTCTCCCATTTCTGATATTAAAATGGCTACACAAAAATTCACCAATTTTGGTCAGTTTTTTTTTCAAATGCCTGCTGATGTGACAGCTGTCACAATACAATCTAACAAAATTGTTTTCAATGAAGTTAAAGACAGCTAAGCACTACTAGAGCCATCTTATGGGAAAAACCAAACAAACTTTATGGCCAACCCAGTACTATATGACTACCAATGTAGCCCCCTCTTCCACAACTCTGCTAGGTTATATCTTGGTCCTGGTCACCATAAGACCTGTGAATGTTCAGATTCATGCTTTAGTACTCTTTTTCAAGAA